ATTTGCATTTCCCTGATGGCTAAGGATGTTGAACAATTCTTTAAGTGTGTCTCTGTGATTTGAGATTCTTCTGTTGAGAATTCTCTGTTTAAATCTGTATACCACTTTTAAATTAGATTATTTGGTATTTTGATGTTTGGTTTCTTGAGTTCTTTAGATATTTGGATATCAACCCTCTGTCAGATATGGAATTGGTGAATATTCCCATTCATTTTGTCATTTTGTCTTACTGACATTTTCCTTTGCCTTACAGAAGCTTTTCAGTTTCAGGAGATCCCATTTATGAATTGTCAATATCAATTGTGCTACTGGCATTATATTCAGGAAACTGTCTCCTGTGACAATGAGTTCAAGGCAACTTTCCCCTTTCTCTTCTATCAGGTATGCTGTAACTGGATTTATATTGAGGTCTTTGATCCACTTGGACTTGAGTTTTGTGCAGGGCAATAAATACGGGTCTATTTGCATTCTTCCATATGCTGACATCCAGTTATGTCAGCACCATTTGTTGAAGATGCTTTTTTCCCACTGTATAATTTTGGCTACTTTATCAAAAACTATAGGTATGTGGATTTGCACCAGGGTCTTCGACCTGATTCCACTGATCCATCAATCTGTTTTTATGCCAATACCATGCTGTTTTTTATTACTATATCTTTATAGTAGAGCTTGAAGTCAGGAATTGTGATACCTCTAGAAGTTCCTTTATTATACAGGATTGTTTTAGCTATCCTGGGCTTTTTTTCCCCCCATATGAAATTGAGTATTGTTCTTCCAAAGTCTGCGAAGAACTGTGTTAGAATTTTGATGGGTATTTCATTAAATCTATACATTGTTTTTAGTAAAGATTGCTATTTTTACTATGTTAACCCTACCAATCCATGAGCATGAGAGATCTTTCCATTTTCTGCTATCTTCTCCAATTTCTTTCCTCAAAGACTTAAAGTTCTTGTCATACAGGTCTTTCTCTGTTTGGTTATAAACTGGGTTGGGTGGGTTGGGGTGGGACAAAGGAAGAGAATAATGAAACAGATATCTTGATGGGGGGGGGCAGTTTGGGGTTAGGGAGAAAAAATTTGTCAGGGAAACTCCCAGGAATCCACAAGGATGATCCCAGCTGAGACTCCTAGCAATAGTGGGGAGCATGTCTGAACTGATCTTCTGTAATCAGATTGGTGACTACCCTAATTGCCATCAGAGAGCCTTCATCCAGTAACTAAGGTGAATATAGAGATCCACAGTTAAGCACTGGCCCAAGCTCCAGGAGTGTGTGTGCTCCTAGGATTCATTCCATTAAATCCCTATAATTTATAATGAAGACACCAACACTAAGTATCTTTATACCTGGAAAAGACAAGAATGATGGGTTAAGTAACTTACTCTGGACTAGGCAGCCAGTGAGTAGCTGGGTGACATCACCTCCAGGCCCTGCCTGCACAGCCCACTGCACTACCCTCATTATGCCAAGTGGGCTCCCTAGCTATGATACAAATACTTTATTTTGTTACATTTTATCAGTTATGTTAAGACTGTACATGATGTTTAAATAAGTAAACATATGGGCTACAAATACTAAACTAATAATTATATGTACAAGTAATCTTCCCAAATATCTTGAAATGTTTATTTATTTATTTCCTTAGATAAAGGCTCTCCCAATGTCCTAGACTAGCTTCCAACTAACAATATTCCTGCCTTATGTCTCCCACATGCTGGAACAGGTGTCTACCACCACATTCATTTATTTTGACCTTTATTAAGAAAAAAAAGATCCAAATACTCTGCACCCTCTTTGTTAAAAAATAAAATTTGGAGGTTGGAGAGATGGAGCTGTAGTACATACTGGTATTACAGAGCACCAGAGTGTGGTTCCCAGAAACCACATCAGGTGCCTTACAACTACCGTAACTCCAGCTCCATGTGGAAAATCTGACGGCTCTGGCCTCCAAAGGTACCCACATGCACGCACATGTATGCATAATTAAAAATATAAAATAAAATATTTAAAGAATAGAGTTCAGTCAAATACTTCAGGTTTACATGTTCGTCTTTATAAACATTTCAAAGCAAAAACTTTAAAAAGACATGTTTTTAAATATTTATTTTTATCATTTTTAACTATGTGTGGGGGGTCGTATGGGCAGTTTAGTACAGTGCCTACAGAGACTAAAAGAGGGCCCTGGATTCTCTGGAGCTGGAGTTACAGAAGATATTGAGCTGGCCAACATGGGTGCTGGGAACAAAACTCAGGACCTCTTCAAGAGCAAGTCACACTCTTAACCTCAAGCTGATCTACTTCTCCAACCCCAATAGTCACTATATTTTTAGTTGTTTTATACATGTGTATCTATGTGAGTATAGGCTCTATGTGTGCAGATGTGCACAGAAGCCAGAAGAGGTGTCAGGGCCTCTGGAGATGGCATTCTCCACCCGACATGGGTGGTGGGAACCAAACTCCAATCTTCTGGAAGAACAGGAAGTGGTGAGCTCTCTCTTGCACCACAGTCATTATTTTACAAGCCCCACTCAAATACAGATTCCGGCAGAGGGAAGAGTGAACACTGACTCAAGACTCAGCAGGTAGAGGGAGTCTTCTGACAAGCAGACACGTCAGCACAGCGACATACATGGTGCCACAGTACCCATCACCACCATCACCTGGGAAACATTTCATCTTAAAAAGTAAACGCAGGCAAGCTGCAAGTACACATAAAGGACATACCTGTACGCCAGTCACCTAATCCAGAGTGACATATTTACACCTCACAGAGACCCTTCAATAAACACAACACAACAATGGGCTCTTTGTTGTTTTTAAAGAAGTATGAGGGCTGGGCAATGGCGGCACACACCTTTAACCCAAGTGTTTGAGAGATAGACATAAAAGGATCTCTGTGTTCAAAGCCAGCCTGGTCAATCAAGCAAGTTCCAGGACAGTCAGGGCTACACAGAGAACTCCTGTCTCGAAAAAAACAACAAATAACAACAATAATAGATATTATTATGAGATACAACCAACAAATAAAACTTATTTGAATGCTAATACTAATAAGCTAAGTATTAAGAAGGCATTTCTTCAGCAGTCAGAAAACAAAAAATGAAATTAAGAACCACTATAATATTGTTGGGCACAGAAATGAACTTGTGGCAACATAAGAAGTTCGTACCTAACAGTAATCAAACGTGCTGGCAGATATAATACATGGACTGAAAGAAGAGTAAGATAACAATGGTAGAATGCAGGCCCTGCTGAGATTGGGAGTTCATAAACTACTCTACTTCTCTGGGAAGTTGCAACTCCCTTAAGATTCTGGGGTAATAATGGACAGGGTGCCTAAACTGGCCCTGCCCTGTAGTCACATTGATGACTATCTTAAATGTCACCATAGAACCTTCATCCAGCAACAGATGGAAGCGGAGCACTGGGCTGAGCTCCCAAAGTCCAGTTAAAGAGTTGGAGGAGTGAGAATATGATCAAAGAGGTCAAGACCATGATGGAGACACCCACTGAACCAGCTTACCTGAGCTAATGGAAACTCACCAACTCCAGCCTGACAGCAAAGGAACCAGCATAGGACCAAACTAGGCTCTCTGGATATGGGTGATAGTTATATGGCTCAGGCAGACTCTGGGCCACTAGCAGTGAGACCAGGATTTATCCCTACTTCTTGTTCTGGATTTTTGGAAGCCATTCTCTTTGGAGGGATACCTTGCTCAGCCTAGATATAGTGGGAAGGGCCTAGGTCTTGCCTCAAAGCAATGTGCTAGACTTTCTTAACAAACCATAGGAAGCCTTACCTTCTCTGAGGAGTGGGGTGGGGGAGTGGAGGGAACAGGTGGAGGGGAGGGAGAGGGAACTGGGATTGGTATGAAAAATGAGAAAAGGTAGTTTAAAAAAAATAGACAAAAAAGTTTCTGGGAACAATGTCTATGACTTCTTTATTTCTCATCTAAATAAATCAATGTAAAAGTGTGACTCTACGGGCCGGAGAGATGGCTCAGCACTTAAGAGCATTGCCTGCTCTTCCAAAGGTCCTGAGTTCAATTCCCAGCAACCACATGGTGGCTCACAACCATCTGTAATGGGGTCTGGTGCCCTCTTCTGGCCTGTAGGCATATATACAGAATATTGTATACATAATAAATAAATAAATAAATAAATATTTTTTGAAAAGTTGTGACTCTACAACATCCAAGAACATGGAAATTATTTTCTAGTAAGGCATTATTATCCTCTTGATATCACTATAGCAGTGATGCTATTTTTCCATCCTTATTTAACAGAGGTGTTTGCTCAAGTAGTCGCCTAATTTACTGGGAGAAATAACCATTCCATATGACCTACTCAACAGTCCCCAATAAAACATGCAAATAGCACTGTGACAGGAGCATAAATGACAGGACAATGATGACACACTGAAACTCATGGGGAGGATACATTATGAGCCTTGCTGTGTGAGTTTTAAAAACCCCTAAATACAACTAAACATAACCCCAAAACAGAGTGCTTCATCTCTGAGGTTAGAGGACCTATAAACTAATGGAAACACATGTGCACAATATAGCATCTAACATATACTCATATACCCATACATGTCCCAATAGAAGAAAAGATAAAAATAACAACATGATTTGAAAAAAATTATAATTTCAAGACATATCAGGTAGTCTTGAGAAGGAAGATAGCAGTCTTTAGAAGATTAGCCAGTTGGTGAGGACTACAGTAGGCACTCAACAAAGGCTTCAGTGAATGATACTCTGTAAATGGCCTATCTTCTCACAGGATCTAGAACCACTCAAAGTCGACATGACTAAAATACTAGTCTTAGTAAACTGAAACTTTCTAATTTAAAGATTAAGCTTTTAATTAAGAACATCTTCATCATTATAAAAAGTCACTACTTAAGAACTAGAGACTCTTAACTACAACTAACTTCAACTGCCCAGGCAACGGCAATAACTAAGGACATATTTCTACTCATGCCAAAACATTTACTCACTTCATAAGACCCGAGTTCTTCTTACTGAAAGGTCCAATGATTTTAAACATCAGCTCCACAACTCCATTTTTACCTAAAGATACTGCGTTCACAGCTGAGAAACAAGAGAAAGACACAAAATAATATGGGTCTTAGTGATGAATCCAAAAGCATTCCAAAGTATTTAGTCAGTGTGAATGCGAGCTACCAGTACACGCTGAAGGTCTGCTGTAGGGTTGGGAGGTTGGTAGGTATTTTGCTTTGCTTGCATGGGAAGCTGGAAGCAACTAGCACTCCAAAAAAAGTTATGATGAGATGACACCAGGAAAGGGAATGTGGGGAGTAAGAGACAAGCACTGGCCCTGCTCTGAGAAAACTGAGCACGGCAAGAGCAGCAGAGACTATAAGCCATGACTACGTCATTGTCTAGATGCAGTAAGTGGTGTAGACTGTTTATTCTCCCTGGGCATCCCCACTTCAGAGTGAGATGGGGACTTCTGGGAAAAATGATGCCTAAGTCCACTCAATGTGAACATGAGTTAGCTCTGAAAGGAACAAGGTGGAGTTTAGAAGGTAGAAGTTTCTGAAACAGCTCAACAGATAGGTAGGTACACCATGGACAATGTCAGAATGAAAATCACAGATTATCAATGGCTACATGTGACAACACCTGCAAATGGGAAAGTGAGAAAAGACAGACGAGGGCCTTCAGCTACAGCAACTGACACCCAGCAACACACTAGATATGCATTCAAACAGCCTGGGCAGAGTGGGGGTGCTCTGGAGAGTCCAACCTAGTGTGATGCAACCAGGGCCTTCACTAAAGCAAGCTCTGAATATGCAAAACTGAAGACTTAGTATTCTACAGAGAATGGGCAGTAAGAAAACTGCTCCGTATTTTAAATTCTGAACAAATGTTAAAGAAATTACACATACACTGTGTGTGGTAGTTGTCTGCCTTTAATCCCAGCACTCAAGAAACAGCAGCAGGTGGATCTCTCTGAGTTTGAAGCCAGACTGCTCTACATGGTGAGTTCTAAGACAGACAAGACTACACAAGGAGAACCTGTCTCAAAAACAAACAAGCACACACACACACAAAAATTACACAGAAACCATCTGTTAGCCTTCTAGTGCTTTATTCAATAAAATGCCACCAAAAAATGCAGCTCTTCTATCCCCTGAGAACCCGAGCCCCTGCTCTCCACCTGTGCCAGCCTTCTCCATCACCCTGGGGACCCGAGCCCCTGCTCTCCGCCTGTGCCAGCCTTCTCCATCACCCTGGGAACCCGAGCCCCTGCTCTCCGCCTGTGCCAGCCTTCTCCATCACCCTGGGGACCCGAGCCCCTGCTCTCCGCCTGTGCCAGCCTTCCACAGTCACACCTCCAGCATCTTCTTTCCTCAATTGGCTGCTGTATTTAAAATTGTTTCACTTTTATTTCAAATTAAGTTTTTAATTTTTCAATCAATTTTTCTCTTTCCTAATCAATGTGATTTTTGTTTTGTCTTGTTGGTTTTGGTTTTTGACACAGGGCTTGATTCCTCTGTGAGACCTGGCTGTTCTAGAACTTGTTGTGTAAACTAAGTTGGCCTTAAACTCAGAGATTTACCTGCCTCTGCCTCCCAAGTGGTGGGATCTAAATTACTTTTTCTTTTTTTTTTCCTAATTCATTCCTCACTTTTACTGTTTATGTCTGTTCTTTGTTGATTAAATAACAAATTCTTTACCTATGTCCTTAGTCATATAAGTGTTCGTTGCTTTTCTGAGCACACCTACAACTAAGCACTCAGCATATACATGCACATGTGTATACACATATACCTTACACTGCATCAATATTTCTTCATGATATTCAAATGGTCTAGAATTTATTTCGTGTGTGTGTGTGTGTGTGTGTGTGTGTGTGTGTGTGTGTGTATGTGTGAGTGTACATATGGAGGCCTGAGGTCAATGTCAAGTGGCTTTTCCTATCGTTCTACATTTTTTGAGATGGGTCTCTCATTGTATCTGGAGTTCAGTGATTCATTTAAACAGACTGGCCAGCAAGCTCCCTCTCGCCATTGCTGTAGGACAATGGCTTGTACCCTGTCACTTGTATTTTAAATAAATGCTGATTGGCCAGTAGCCAGGCAGCAAGTATAGGCGGGGTGACCAGGCAGGAAGTAGAGGTGGGGCAAAAGCAGGAGAATCCTGGTAACAGGAAAGAGTCAGTCTGCAGTCATCACACAGAGAGAGAGGAAGCCAGACACAAAGCAAGCAAGATGTGACCACCTCGCTGAAAAAGGCACCAAGCCACGTGGCTAACACAGACAAGAATAACGGGCTAATATAAGATGTAAGAAAGAGTTAATAAGAAGCCTGAGCTACTAGGCCAAGCATTTTATGATTAATCTAGACCTCTGTGTGTTTATTTGGGTTATAAACAAGAATACTAGGGACCAAAGCTCAGGGCCTCATGCTTGTACAACAAGAATTTACTAACTGAGCCATCTCCCTATGGTTCATGCGTTAACTGAGATTTCAGTCAGAAAACACACGGCAAATGTTTATCTCATAGGTTTGAGACCTAATATATCAAAGTGAGAGTATTGAGGGGGGGAGTAATTAAAAACAATCTCCCTTCAATTGCCCTTCTCTCTAACTTCCCGAGACACCAGCACCATTCTCTGTGTGCTCTGCTGCCTCCCTGGTGATAGGCCAATGCTGCAGGTAAAAGACTAGGTGCCTTCCACCTCCTCCTTTGTCCGTGAACGCCCAGAGTGTCTTACTTTTGTTTTCTGTTGCTGTGATCAAAATACACTGACAAAAGCAACTTATGGGGGAAAGTTTTTATTTAGCTCATAAGCTCAGGAAACTGCCCATCATAACGGGGGCAGGGGGAGGGGAGGGCAAGGCGGCAAGAGCCTAAAGTAGCTGCTCACATGAACCACGTCAGGGATAGAGAACAGCACATGCACCCATCTCCTCTCCCCCTCTCCTTAGAGAACAGAACCACACACAAGGGAAGGGTCCTCCCACCTCAACATGACCCCAGGCCACCCAGACCAACTATCCCTTCCAGAAACCCTGCTTCCCAGGAGACTCTACATTTGTCTCCCATGCAGACAGAAGCACTTCCCAGTGGCCAACACTCCACACTCTTCCGCTGGAGGCATGCTACGGGCTCTCCTCTCAGCCCAATCCTTTTCAAGTGAAGGAACGTGTGAGAATTCTCACCTTCTCACTCCAAATCACTGCTGTTGACTTGTGAGCCATATTAAAGTTTACTTTCCACAAATTGGAGAGATTTATAGACTTTAGATGGTTTTTAAACTTCATTTGTGTAAGCTCACAGCCCTGAGTAGATCACAGCCACCCATAAGTACTTACAGTTGGTAGAATACACGCGCAGGAGCTGAAGACAAGGGAAAGCCAAGCGATAGTTCTGAAAGTGCTGCTTGACCAAATTCAGGGTGACATTCAGTGCCCCATTCACTCGAGCCTTCACTCCAAACTTTTTATCTGTTTTTAAAAAAAATTTATTCACATAAAACTTTTAAAGAAAACTAAGTTGGAAAATAATGAAGACAAAGGATATAACTCAATGGTAGAGGGCTTGCCTAGAATTGCCAGACCCTGGATGTAACCACTAGAACTGCCAAAACAGCAGTGACATATTAAATCTGTACTATACATTCATGTCGGATGTAAAGTTGATATGAAATAATCAAACTGATAATCATTTTTGTATAATTTCTAATACACCTTACCCTTCTGAAGCACATCCTATACCAATAAGGCAGGAAAATAAGACGGGGAGGGGCTAGAGTAGTTAGTCCAACATAGATAATCCCATGCAAGGCGAGCATAGCTGGTCTACTATCCAGTAAGCTAATTCAATACACCTCCCGCAAATACAGGCAGGAAGAGGAATAAATAATTTAAATATCAATTACCAGTATTATTTAATATAAACATTATTTTCATAACTATAAAAATAATATACACACTAATAAAAACATAAATATCTTAAAATAAAAATTAATGTGGCAAATATATCAAACAAATTTTTAAGGGGAAGCTGGAGAGATGGCCCAACAGTTAGAAGTGCTTACTACTCTTCCAGGAGACCAAGTTCAGCACCCAAAACCACAGCAAGAACCTTACAACTACATATCATGCCAGTGGGGAGATCTGATAACTCTGGCCTCACACACACACTAAAATGATAAAAAGATAAATCTTTTAAAATGTGTGAACAAACAGAGGAACTATTCTAATAACTCAGTACATGCTGTGGCAGGTAACAACCAAGTCATGGCTACTAACACCTCCATCTCCTTAAATATTTTATTTTTAATTTCTGACTAAGATGATAATTACACATATTTGTAGCATACAAGGCAATAATCTTAGTACACATATATTTAGTGTGTGCAATTCAGGGTAATGGACATTTCCACCTGTTAGCATCACTGTGTCTATGGAGACCAACAGAAGTCAGTCACTAACAACACAGATTTCAAGGCAGAAAGAATGAATATTCCTACGGTAAAGTAACCTCTATGTCACATGAAAAAAAAAACAAAAAGAATCACTCAAAAATTACTGTACAACCTGAATGAATGGCATAAGAACAGAAAAGTTGTACAAATGCTAATGCAGAAAGTACAAATTTAAGATGCAGAATAAAATAAAGATGACTTATGAATTAAAATGGAAGAAACAGACACATTGATATCTTCATTTCACAAAAAGTAAAAGATAATTTGGTTATAATTAGCAGAGGAAGAATGGACTATCATATTTACCAATAAATAAAACTTTATTTCATTTTCATTTTCTACAAAAGTATCAAAAAGGGAATTCATGAATCTCAAGTATAGAACTTAAAGAAAAATAAGGGCCAAGACAGATTTGTACTACATTTAGTCTCAAGGTCACCACACAGTTGCATTCTTTAAAACACGGTCTGTTAACAATACAAGCTAAATGCCTGCATGCTACATGCCAACGTGTATGTGTAGCATGTTCACATCAACACTTTTCAATGTTAAGACAACATACAGACACTCTACACTTTTGGGTTCCACCCAAAGAGCATGACATGTTCTGTTTGCCTGAATAAGCAGTCTCTCCTTCTCCTGGGCCTGCCTCTCCTTATTCGCTGTGCTTTTAGTATTTTACGTGCCTCTCTGCGGCTCAAACCCTCACAGTTTTTCACGTCTGTTTGGTCTTTGTAAATAGGAAGTTTCCAGAACACTGACCTGCACACAGTACAAATGTGACTATCAGTGAAAATACTGTCCATTAGCATGCTCACTTCCACACACTGTACCCACACCCCTCCTAACTTCACCAGAACACACATAGCATTCACTCTCTACATGTATATGTGTGTAAACGTCTATACATATGCACGCACATATATATGCATATGGGCGCACCCACAAGCACTAAGACACTAATACTGGCATTCTTCCCCTTGTATGCCACATTCAAAACACCTCTTCATGAATCCTGGCTCCTCAGTTCCTGCTGGTTAACTGCAAAACATTCCACTGTTAAACCCAAGATAAAGTAGTGCTTTACATTTCAAAATTTAAGCAGTTTAAGACAAAGATTGGCTGGGTGGTGGTGGCAAACACCTTTAATCCCAGCACTCGGGAGGCAAAGGCAAGCGGATCTCTGTGAGTTCGAGACCAGCCTGGTCTACAAGAGCTAGTTCCAGGACAAATTAAAAAAAAAAATAAACAGAGCTCTCACCTTTGGGTCCGATCTTTGCAAGGACGCAATGAGTCTGTACCATCAACTCCTCGTGGGGAGGGGAGTCTTTGCTGGCATTCATTAGCAGTTGTAACAGTATCTGTGAACCACCTTTGGCAACTAAGAAACTTGCTCTTCGGCCACCACCTAAAAAATTTTTCAAACATATTGCAAACAGCATATCCTCCCACTGTGAGCATCACAATAAGTTAGTACTCAAGAAATGTTTCAATCCACGCATTCATTTCTACAACTAAATACTATCTAAATCATATTTTGTGTTTTGGTTACAGGATCTCATTGTACAGCCCAAACTAGCCTTAAAATCTGTGATCATCCTGCACCAGCCTTGCAAAGGCTGGGAAAACAGGAATGTGCCTCCATCCCTTGCTCCTATTTTATTTCATTTCACTTATTTATCTAAAATATAGTATATAAAAACAAACACAAACGACACTAAAATTCTAGGGTCAAGGTGCTGTAAGTAGGCAAGGAGAATTTGAGGAGTATCTGAAGATGTCGAAAATAAAGCACTGCACAGGAGAGATGGCCCAGCGGGTAAGAGCTTGCTATGCAACCAATCCTAAGGCCATCTCAGCTACCCATTTAATAAGCTGAGCACAGTCTCACAGCGCTGTGGACATGGAGAGTAAGGTCCATGGGATCTGCTGGCTAACAGCCTAGCTGAAACCCTTCAGCTCCAGGGTCAGACCATGCTTGAAGGAATACGGTGGAGGGAGAGTAAGAAAGTGCCTTCTGCTAGCATATACATATTCCCCACACAAGAAGCAACAACAAGGACAGGACATTTCATTTCCACAACTTTAATCTCAAGAACTTTTAAGTACATAAGACACAAAGCTGGTCACTACTTACAAACACAAATCAAACCAAAGTAAATCAAAACTCACCAGAAGATACCAGCTCGACAAGAATGCTTAAGATATTAAGTATAGTTTGAAGATCTTTCGTGTTCTGAAACAAACAGTTGATTTGCTTTATTAAAACACTGATTTTATGTTTCAAATATTTTAACCTGCTGGTAACTACCTATGTCTAACAAATGGTTTTTCTAATTTCTTTTTTTTAAAAAAAAATATTTATTTATTTATTATATATTCAATATTCTGTCTGTGTGTATGCCTGCAGGCCAGAAGAGGGCACCAGACCTCATCACAGATGGTTGTGAGCCACCATGTGGTTGCTGGGAATTGAACTCAGGACCTTTGGAAAAGCAGGCAATGCTCTCAACCTCTGAGCCATCTCTCCAGACCCTTTTTTTTTTTTTTTTTTTTTTTTTTAGTTTTTCGAGACAGGGTTTCTCTGTAGCTTTGGAGCCTGTCCTGGCACTAGCTCTTGTAGACCAGGCTGGCCTCAAACTCACAGAGTTTGCCTCTGCCTCCCGAGTGCTGGGATTAAAGGCGTGTGCCACCACCGCCCAGCTGGTTTTTCTAATTTCTCTAGGCACAATTATATTGACCTCTACTATATTCATATTAAAACTTCAATATCTTCATCATTTTTCTTACATTTACTTATTTATGTATATGGAGGTAGGCATGGAGTTCCTGGGACAATTGCTGACACAGAGTCTCTCCTCCTACCATGTGGGTCCTTGGAATTGAACCGTCATCAGTTAAGCAGCTCACAAGCACCTAGGGATCCTGGGGGTCGGACACCTCGAGCCTTCATGGGCACCTGCACTCACATGCACATGCACATGCACACAGATGTGGACAGATTAATTAAAACAATAACTAAAATCAGGGCCATTCGGACAGCTCTGCAGTGACTCTCATCCTCAGAGCCCACATCAAGGTGGGAGGAGAACCGACTCCACAAAATGTCCTCTGGCCCACATGTGTCATGGCAGGTGTGCCCTCTGTCACAGACAGAATAGTAACAAAGTGTTTAAAAATATCTAAGACTAAATTTTAAGTTAGTATAATCATTTAGAAATATATGTTTACATAATACCTATTAGTGCACTCGTGTGTGTGTGTGTGTGTGTGTGTGTGTGTGTGTGTGTGTGTGCGTGTGTGTGACTTCAACAAACCTGTGACAGTTCTACCACTAAGGCTGTGGTGCGTACCTCCAATGTTGACAACAGAACTTCCATGCCCGTAGAACCTTTGGTTGTCATTTCCCTCCTTGTTTTTTCTGAAAGGTAAAAAATGATTTTTTTTTATCATTAATGTGAACCAAAAATACAAAAACAGAAAGCCGTAACATTTTGTTAGATATAGCTAACACTGTAAACACTTTAAGCTGACTCATGGATGCTCATCCCTCTAAAGCTTTTAATTCTATTCTGTGGATGGGATTCCATTTTCAGTTAACAAGACTTTCTCTTCTTAAATATCATAGTCCAGGAAAAGTCCCCGCCAATCCTTCCAAAATCTTAAAATTAGAACTGGCAGTGAGTTGTAAAAGGTGGAAATTATGATGGAAGACTTTTTTATCATTATGAGCATAATTGAAAAACAGCTCATCAAAATGAGCTCAGGCCATTTTCAAACATTTCCATTGTATTTAATACTTAGATCAAAATTCTGAATCACATAAATGGACCATCAAAGGAAAGATTTTATGGGAGAAGCTGCAGATGCTCTCACTCAAATGCCTGTCCTTACCACTGGGTGGGAACTCTGCAAATACTTCTGTTTTACTCAGAAGTCCCTGCATCTTCTTTATTATTCTTTGATTCACAAAGAGATAAAATTCCTAACAAGAAAGAACCAACTGTTCCTATTCCATGTATTTCACCTACATTCTCTCTGCTTGGGGAACAGGGAAGTTGAGAAGAGAAGGAACGAGACAGACCCGGAGCTCCCGTCTCTACCAAGTCTGCAGACCTCTCAGAACACAGTCTTTGCACTCAGAGGTTTGGAGCCCTTTTCTACTTTTTCAGACTTGGACATTGATGTTAGAACTGTTAATGCAGGGGACCACGACATTAATCTCAATATTCTGAAGTATAAAAAGTGAAAGACAAAGGCTCCAATATCAATGTAGTATATATTCTACAATTAAGCTTCAAAGACAGGAGGGCTAAATTCTGTGTTTCATATGGAGATAATCAAGGCAGTTTAGGAGCAGAGGGCTACATGAGAGAAAAATACCAGCTGTAGGAATGGAAAAGACTAACAGTACAGTTTTCCGTAAGTATTTCAAGTCTCTTACAGTCATTTCTCCCTTTACTGCCTTCTTTTGTGTTGATTTCTCACAACTTAATTTAAGTTCTACTCTGAGGACCTCCCCCCCAGAACTAAGTTCTGCTTCCTCCTGTGGTCTGCGCTTGCCCAGCGCAGCGCTCTCACACAGGAGCAAAGGCTGCAGTGGGACCCTGCTTGTGAAAGGTATCATGTGCTACACCAGGACACAGGAGTTCAGCTGCACGGCTAGCTGTCTTCACCAGTGACCGCCATCATCTCAGGCCAGTCCATGTGACTGTCACAACTTAAACCTTCTGCCTTTCAAAGCATGTATCTCCACAAATGGCATGAAGACATAACACCCCTCATATCTGCTCACGCTACATTCTGCTAGTGCTAAACACCGTGGAAATTCACCTACAGGCATACTGTGCTCATAAACTGAAATTCTTTTTTTTTAAGTATATAGTCCACCCCTCAGCCCAGCTGTCCCTGATGTGGGATTCCCTTCTGTCCCCACAAAAAAAAATTATTAGATTTTTATAAGAAAACAAAGCCAGGCAGTGGTGGCACATGCCTTTAATCCCAGCAGTAGAGAAGCAGAGACAGGTGTGATGGAGGAAGGTCATTGGTTAAAAAAATAAAGAAACTGCTTGGCTGGCCTCATAGGTTAGAACACAGGTAGGTGGAGAAAACAGAACAGAATGCTGGGAGGAAGAGGAAGTGAGCTCAGACTCGACAGCTCTCCTCTCGGGAGCAGATGCCTCAGAGAGATGCCATGCCCCACTCCCGGGCAGACACATGCGATGAAGCTCCGACCCAGGATGGACATAGGCTAGAATCTTCCCGGTAAGACCAGTGCTCACAGATTATTAGAGATGGGTTGATCGGGATATCAGAATTAGCCAGTAAGGGCTAGAGCTAAAGGGCCAAGCAGTGTTTAAATGAATACAATTTGTGTGTTGTTATTTCGGGGCATAAGCTAGCCAGGCAACCAGGGTGCTGGGGACGCAGCTCCGCCGCTCCTATTACTACACAGGTGGATCTCTGTGAGTTTGAGGTCAGCCCGGTCTACAAGAGCTAGTCCCAGGACAGCTAGGTCTGTTACACAGAGAAATCCTGCCTCAAAGGGGAAAAAAAAGAAAAGAAAATGCAGTTTCAAACAGTCATCTTGGTATAGAAAGAAGGCGGGTGCCTCCCTACAGCCAAGTCACTGTTCACACTAACGTTGGAGACATCCTCAGAAGACGCAGAGCTCTGTGTCACCAAAGCCACTGCACTGTAGCTGCAAACAGTGGGAACCTCTGCCTGTGAGCACAGTCCAATGCTGTCCTAACTCTTCATCAGCCTGAACCATCATCCTATGATTCTAGACACTAAAATGAAAACAAACTGTTAAACTAGCAGTTTTCCACTCTACTCCCAGGTTTTCCCATGACTTTGACATTCATGTGGAAAATCCTTTAAACACCATAGTTTTGCCAAGTAGTAGTGGCATAGGCCTTTAATCCCATCTATTAGGAGAAAAGGCATACAGATCTCTGTGAAGTCGAGGCCAGCATGGTCTACAAAGTGAGTTCCAGGACAGTCAGGGTAGTTACATAGAGAAACCCTATCTCAAAAACCCCAAAAGATATGAAAATTAAAAAAATAAAATAAAAAAATAAACATCACAGTTTCTTGGCCTCCTTACAACAAAATCCATTCCTGTGCTCCAATCTGTTAGCCTTTTCAATAAGTGTTCTCATTACCTGCATGATAAAGATCCCAAGAACAAAGACACCTGCTGAGTAAATTTGCAAGCAAAAAGCAAAGCCCCACAGGGAAGAAGTCAGCTGGGCTACAGCTGGGAACACTGCAGGGACAGGATGATCCCAGCATGTAAGACTCATATCATGCTAGCACATGCACCACATGTCAGGCATGAAGCAACAGAACTGAACAGTTTACTAGGATTGGAAGGAACTGTATAGTGGATGAAGGGGGTCCTGGGGGCTCACAGCTAGAGTCTCCAGAGAGCCTTCAGGCTTAGACTGGAGAGGACCACAACTGTTGAGACCTAGGCAGGAAACTGTTGTGGATGTGCTTTTACCAGGGCCAGTGATGTCGTGTCAGATAGAATTGTAAAACTATGATCTTCCTTGGACATTGGGTACAAAATATGTTTCAGTGCTGAGTGAAGACTGTTCTGGACTGAGATGCCGGGACTTCTAAGTGGAGAGTGCAGGCAGCACTACCCGACACACTGGGGTTTCAGACCCTCAGATAAAATGAGGGATGTACACACAGACACACACACACACACACACACACACACACAGGCTCTCTGCTCACTGACTGTTGTGAAGGGAACAACTTAGCTCCCCACACTCTTCCATCGCAGCGTGCGGTCTCCTGAAAGCAGTGCAGCAATGAACTGTGCCTCTGAAGCAGAGTCAAAATACATATTTTCTCCATAATCTGTTTCTCAGGCATCTGTGATATCAGGGATCAGATCTAAAAAGGTGCACTGAAAATCAATTTCCTCCAAAGTCATTCAGTTTCCTACTTCCTTAAGTCAGGCTGAGAAAGGCCATTTTTTACAGAAAACCATCAGTTCTCAAAAACTGGAATATTCTTCATATCAAAAATCAGAACATTCTTAGTATCTATTTTTAAAGAATTGAAAAAGTATTCCAAAAACAAGAAGGGATTCCAGCTTACCTTGACTTTGGGCCAGATGCAGAATCTTGGATGTGACATATCTGACATTATCTGACTCTGTAGGGTCCGTATTGATCTTCTCCAGCTGAGCCAAGAGCCCGACAACCCGAGAACTATTGGGAAGGCTACAAAGAACACTCTCCATTAGTGTGGGTTCTGTGCCAGCTGCAAAGAGAATGTTTCTCAGAGAGGCCACTGTTTAAACATTAACCACTCCATGCCACAGCCCTTCACTGCCTCTATACCACTGCTAACTTCTGACTGGAAGACACTCTGTTTCAGAAAATCACAAACAACAAACATGCGTTCACCCATCCAGGAATCTCCTATCGCACCTGCCAAGTTTTCTACTTTCCAAGGCTTTGCACTTCCTCCGCTCTTTTCAAAACTGAAACCCTGTTCTCCTGCCCTGCTCCATTCCCTACTCCATGCTTTTTGCAGAACTGTTATCTGTAAACCCACAACTTGGAAGGCTGAGGCAAAAGAGCTACCTCAAGTTCCAGGCCACACTGGGTATAGAGTAAGACATCATCTTAAAAGAAATAAAATAAAATAAAAAATCTACCTCTCACACACAAGTCAAATAAGTGTATGCACGAATTACACAGCTTTTCAGGTGGTGGGAAGTGATCTGGAGGGAGGGTGGAGGATTCACGTGTGCAAGGTGGGACAGTCTCTATGCTCACCTCGCTGGAAAGCTATACCCAGCAGTAAGACGTGAGCCACATAGACTGCAGCAGACAGGGTCACAACCACCAAAGCTCCAAGACAAGAACATGCCTGCTGAGACAGAGATGGCCAAGTGGCTGCAATAGCTACTACAGCCAGCAAGAAGAAAGCAGTCAGGGCTGAGCCTGGACACCAGAGCCAGCACAGGGCCACTCGCCACTCAGAGCCAGCAAGTTCTCAGACAGCTTGGGCTTTCCAGTTCTTTGACTTGGCTTGGGTTTTGGGCAGAAAAGCAATATATTCTCTTTCCTGAAACCTCTTTTTGAAGAACCAACTCCACAGTGGTTCACTGACCTTCTCACACACCATAACGCGTGTGCACTCCCACACATGTTACACATACAGTAACAACACAAATTGTCACACTCCCTTTGGCTAGTGTGTTGGATTGTGTCTGAACTGACTGACCATCTGTGAATGAGAACGTCCCCACAGGCCCAAATGTTTGAACACTTTGTTCCCGTAGGTGGAACTCTTTGGGAAAGATTAGGGACGGTGGCCCTGTTGAAGGATGTGTGACACTGTGGGCAGGCTTTGAGGTTTCAAAAGACTTGTACCATTCCTAGTGTGCTCCTGGCCTTCTGGTTGGGGTTCAAAATATGAGCGCTCAGCTGCTGGTCTGACTACCTGAACCTGCTACCTCCACTCTGCCATCATAGGCCCTATGAAATTATAAGCTCAAAACAAACAAACAAACAAACAAACCCTCTTCTGTAAGCTGCCTTCCTCATAGTGTCTACCACAGCAACAGAAACCCTAAGTGACGATCTGCCAGGGCTACACAAATGACTCTGTCTCAGAAACAGAAAGAGAGGAGAGGAGAAGGAGGGGATGGTGGTGCTAACAATGATGATGATAACGATGCCATCCCTTTACTAGATCACATCCGCCAGCACACACACTAGCTAGGATCTCAAGCCAGCTGTCCCCATCTCTTCTCTCCCTTTCCTCACACATGGTGCCTTTTAAACACCTCATCTGCCTTCTGGAGATCAGAAATGCCTTTTGCTTCTTTTCACTACTTCCTCAACAAGTCACACACCCATTAGTGGGTTTTAAAGAAAATATATCTGAATGTGTCGTGATGGTTAGTTTTAAATGTCCACTTACCACAACCTATAGCTGCCCAGGAAGAGTTGTAATACAAAACTGTCTAGATCGGGCTGGCCTGTGGCCATGCATGTGGGGTCTGTCAAATGATGACACCACAGAGTTCCCACTGCTGCGACTCCCCTGACACCATGGATGGTAACGCTGAACTCTAAGCTAAGATGAACGCTTCCTCTACGTTGTTTTCTGTAAGAATATCTCATCACAGTGACAGCAATGAAACGGGGCCAGTGCCCAAAGGAAGAGAACTCAAATATCTATGATTAGTCCTGTGACTGCCACATGACATATGACCATGTTATCTAAGTCCTAGCCAAATGAGAGGTAAGCACACATGAGACAGCAATTATCTGTATCTGCTCCCATTTCTACTGGTTATATGATGTTAAGAACTAGAGAAAATGCAGAGACAGACAGGAAGCCATACACCAGGAAAAGAAGTCACTCTGCTGCCCTTGAACAACCCTTGCACATGGCAGGAGCACATTTGAACCTATGCTCCACTGCATTTGGGGCCTCTCCTCCACCAGCTCAGCTATAGCTCGTCTCACACAATGCTTCATCAGTTACACTGTACTCTTCTCTAAGTTCAATGTCTGTTGTTTATGTGTACATTTTAAATTTGTTGAGGAGATATTTATTAACTGTGGAGGCTAGAGCGGAACTTGAAGGAATTGGTTCTAACCTTTTACTGTGTGGGTCCCCAGGTTCAAACTTAGGGTGTCAAACCTTGGTGCCAACTGCCTTTACCTCCTGACCCATCTCATCAGCCTAGTACTTATATAAAACTGTATCAAGTACCAGAGCAGTAAAATGGCACAAAATAATGTAAAACCTTCAACAGACACAAAACCCAGATAGTCAGATTATAAACAGATACTCTCCTCTCCATTGTACACTCGTAAACAAATGTAAGCCTGGAAGAATGATCTACATAGTCTACACACTACCCTTCCATTTATCTCTCTTTATCCATAGGTCAACCAGGCTTAACATTAACTCCTTTGTGAGAACTGTGTTCCCTATTTTCAAAGGCAAGTGTCTAATGCTTTCTTCCCCACACTCAAGACATTCTGCAATTTCAATTTCCATTTCCTCCCCACACTCAGACTCTACCTGCCCCACCCCCCACCTGCTGTCAGGCCAGAGCCAGGAAGAGTCCAGAATCTTCAGGAATTGATGTATTTAATCAAACTGCTTCCCAATCACCTGCAGCTGATGAGCAAACAAGAGGAGACCTTCTGATCATTTGGTATGTGCTCTTGGCCTCCATCCGGCTCTCTGAAGCCTGCCACCAACAGCACTTCCTCGATCACCTAGCCCTCAGTGCTAGAGGCAGCACATCCTGCCATGAACAGCACCAAGCAGCAGAGCCCTCCACATTCCACACAAGGCAAGCACCCGCAACAGCCGGATTCCTGGAAAGCTGTCCCATCTGCCTTGTTGCAATACCCTGATCTCAGCCCACTGCACACCCTATGGTGGCAATCCATCCAGTCTGTTGCCTCACAGCCTCTCAATGTCACCTGTGCTCCTCAAGAGGCACCCCCTCCAGTCCCTGAATGAGGACATTAGAAGGAGTGCACAGGAGAGAGGGTTTAGCTAAATAAAGATGCCAACCACAAATGGTTAGACAGGGTGCACATATTTCCTAAAACTGTCCTTGGCATTGCATTCTCGTCCCCATTCTTTATTCCTTCACAGTTTCATGCGTGTGTATAATAAATTCTAGTCATTTTCACAACCCTCCCATTTCTCTCTCATCCTCTTCCCTTTCCTGAGAAATCCTTCTTCCTCAAAAAGTCCAGCCTCCTGCCTTCATGTCTTCTGGGTGTGGCCAACCAAGTTTAATTAGAACTGTCTGCTCACAAGAGCACGGGTGGGAGACTGTTTACTACAGCATGGGCAACTTCTGAGTGGCTAGATCCCTCCTTCAGTCACCATCAGCTGCCAATAGCTCCTCAGGGAGAGGAAGATAACATGGTGAGAGTCCTAGTGGGCCTGGGAAGCTAACAATAGCTGTGCTGAGTTTGTGAGAACAGCAGCTATTGCCTTGGTTCACTGTGGCAGTGAGTGCCACATTGTTGGGTGGCCGCCTTCCGAGCAAGAAGGTGGTCAGAAAGATGCTCAAAATGCAAAGATAAAAGCACCTACTGTGTGATGGGTATCTTAAGCACAAATGAACTACTTAAGTTTGTGCTTTTTAAAAAAATCATAATGGAACATGACATGGTCTTCCAGGTTTTATTAATTTCAGTTGCATGTGGTATACCAAGACTGAAGCATCCATGCCTTACTTCTTTAAAGAGCCTCTTCAACACTAGGCATGAGGCTCAGTTGATATGTGACCTAGACTCAATGCCCAGCCCCACGGAGTCAGCTGTGATGGGGCACAACTGTCACTCCAGATGCACCTGGGAAGGGAAGCATGAGGGACAGAAGTGCAAGGCCATCCTTGGCCACACACTGAGTCTAAGGCTATGAATACCTGAGGCTGTGTTTAAAAACAACAACAACAAATTAGAAAGTTATTTTGTCTATAAATGTCCATAATTAGTTCCTCAGTCCCTCACTGTATAGTCTAGATAAATACATCTATTTTCTAGTAAATATCCTCAAATTTATAAACAAAACAATCTCACACTTTTTAATAAAGAGTAAGCACAGAAACCTGACAAGTATAAAGAGACTATCCAAGGATGTAAGTGATCTGAACAGATAAATGAAAAAAATAGGGGAGGGTTTAAATTACAGAAGGGAAGGGCAGTCAACCCGGGACAAGAGGGCAGGATGAGGGGGAAATGACAGTAATGATGTCTGAAAAAGTCATAAAGAATTGTATTATTATATACTTATCTAAAATTACATATAAGCCTATGTTTGTACAGATACACAGTTTAAAATTTTCCCACCTGGATTGACAACACTCCTCCCCAAAAAACATAAACAATCTAACAAAAATCCCCATACTGGACATGAGAAGCCCCCTTTTGGGTTGTTAGTCAAGGGAGTTCAAATAGACTACATGCTACTGCTGTTGCCTTGGCTGCCTCCCAGAGATGGAAGATAAGTCCCTTTTGCTGGAGACACACTGCACTTCAGACACAGCCCAGAGGACTCGCTCTCATGGTACCAAGAAAGTCCCACACAAGCTAGGAAGGGAAGCAAGCAGCCAATAGTCCTGCCCAGTTATGATGCCTAGAAATAACAACAGCCCCAAGTGTGGAATGTGGCATCTCTTGGTGGTAACTAACAGCTCTCTAATTGGACGTAAGGTACTTTCAAC